GTTAGTTTTTTCCTTGGGAAATCTAAATAGGCTTTTGTACTGGGTAACTGGTTTAATTATTCCACCTAATGGGAACAAGATAGTAGGCAGTGACTTCTAGCCATATTCTGACATTACTGTGAACAGAATACATCAAGTAATCTTTGTTCCTGAAGTATCCAAGAAAGCATTGCATTTCCAGTGTAAGTGACCTTCAGTTCTCCTTAAGATGCATACTTTGTGGTCAGGAGAGGCAACACTGTATTGGTTACTTGTGAACCCTTCCTGGATATTCCTTCTCAAGTATAAGAGGGATTCCCAGGAACTGTGGCATTTGGTTGTAAGGCTGGGCTGGTCACTGATTTGTTTGTTTTTTTTTTAATTCTCTTAGCCAACAGTTCAGGTGGTGGCTTTTTATTGAAGAACAGACAGCAGAACATGCTGATGTAGTTCCAGCATTGAGATAGTTCAGTGAGAGGCACTCAGGCTAGGACTTTCTCTTGAACTGCATGACAGCGGAACTCCAAAGGAATTGTTTGCTTGCATTCTAAACTATAAAAGATGGTAGTTGGCTAGTGAGGTTTTTGCTGGGCTGAAATTAAGTTAGTTTAACTGTCTCAGGCTACTTTTGTACTTAAATGTACTTTTCTGCCTCTTCAAGAGGGCCCCTGCGCCCACGCCCTGCCCCGGTCACTGGAGAGGCTGAGAACAAAGAGAACCAGCATGAGGCCGGTGCTGTGAGTCAGCAGCCACTTCGCCGTGGGTACAGGCGCCCATACAACTACCGGCGTCGGCCTCGTCCATCCAATACACCAGCTCAGGATGGGAAAGAGGTAAGTATGCTCCTGGCCATGTGGCAGAAGCTGAGTTTTAATGGGATGAGTGTAAGAGATTTAGGCAGGGGGATTTGACAAGTCTGTTGGTATGTTACAGAAAACTGATGGCAAGTTGATAGTAAAGGTAGCTGGCTTAATTGCCTGTTTCTTATGGACTTGTTTGAGCAGCTTACCTTATATAAAAAAGCAGCAGTGGGATAGGAGTTGCTTCTAGATAGTTTTTAATTGGAGTCAGACTGTAATAAAGACTTCTGAAGTAGAAAAACACCTTATCTTCCAGCTCTGTTTCTAACTATGTTTCTGAAACTATCCATTTCCAGGACAGGAGATGGATTTGAAAGCTCCAGATCAATTTCTTGAACTGTACAAACTAGATTTAGATTAACTGTTAGTAATTAGACTTTACCCTAGTGAGGAGACTTTATTATTCTATCCTATGCATACAAGGTGGTTTTTTCCATGTCAGAGCTTACTTAAAAAGAAAAAAAAATAAAAACTGCTATTGGACAGTGAAGGGACTTACTTGGTCTTTACCTATAACAAAAATGTTTTTGTTTTTGTCTCAGACAAAGGTGACTGAAACACCTGCTGAAAATCCTGCTCCAGTGACTGAGCAGAGTGGTGCTGAGTAATGTCAGGTTCTGCAGGCACCTCTACTATCCCTCAGGTAAGGAGCATAGCTAGTATCTTTTTTGAGTGAAATGGGATTTCTAGGACTCCTGGGATGTGGCCACATCCCTATATTTCTGGCTAGATACTTGTAACTTCTGAGAGCCTTTTATAGGTGAGTCAAGGAATTTGTTTGTCTGCATCTGTCTGTGTCTGTCACAAAGTAAAGTTTGCTTTATCTATGTAGGTAACTCTGCTCTTTGAAAGGGTAGGTAAGAGCAGGACAAGGGGAAATGGTTTTCAGTTGAAGGAGAGAAGACTTAGGTTGGATATCATGGGGAAGCTCTTTACTATGAGAGTGGTAAGGTGCTGGAACAGGCTGCCTAGAGAGGTTGTGGGTGCCCTATCCCTAGAGGTGTTCAAGGCCAGGCTGGATGGGGCTCTGGGCAGCCTGGTCTAGTATTAGTATGTGGTGGAGAGGGTTGGAGACTCATGATCCTTGAGGTCTCTTCCAACCCTGGTCATTCTGTGATTGTGTGTGTGTATATATATACTCTAATACCATGTATTGATGAGTTGGTGCTTTAGGAAGATGTGGTTCTCAATTTGTAAATGAGATATGCTGGTCATGCTTGTCTTAATAAGAATAGAATATTCTCTGCACTAGGAGAGGAAAACTTTAAACTGCTTCTTTAATTTGGCTTTTTCAACAGGTGTCCTAAAATATAAGTCAGAAATAACACCAAAGAAACATTCAAGCAATAAATAAGCAACAGTGATGAAAGCAAAGATTCAAAACATCAGAACTAAAAGCAGGAGGAAGAAAAAGAAATACCAGCAGCTGAGATCCAGGGAACGCCTGCAAGACAGATGCATAAAGAGTGATATTTGGAAAGAGCAACCTCCCCAGTTTCAAGAGCAACTGTGGGTTTTTTCTTGTTTAGAATTTCAATGTTTCACTAGTATTGAATTTTTCAGTTTTTCTTTTGGTATCAAACTGAAAAGGGGAAAATACCCAATGAAAGAACTGAAATAGAAATCAAATGCTTTTCTTTATTGGATGCTGGTGCTAGACCTCCCAGGTGTGTTGAGTATTTTTTTTTTCTGTGCCAGTCCTGTTCACTTCAGGACATGGGGAGGAGAAACTTCAGCTTTCCTTGGTAAGATCTATTTGAAACTGTGCAGCATGGGTGACGTTCCTTGCAAATAAAAGTGATTTCAACTACCAAAACCAATCCATTGGAGTGTTTGTTTATATTTACCTTTAAAATCATTAATGGCTCTAATCTTGCTGCTTCAGTATTTACATGTGAAAATGAACTGCATCTCTTAATATGCACTGATATGTCTTGTCTAAAACACTGCTGGAATATGCATGTGCAAAGACTTGACTGGATTAGTTATGGCTACTGTAAAACAAAAAAGCTTCTGCAAATTAGACAACAGAGCTATAACCTACGCTATCTTCTCTTTAGTTTTCTGACTTTAGGTTTTTCTCTGTTACTATACTGCAGTAGTTGTTTGCAACATCTAGAGTGGATTAGTGGGATATTCTTCCCTTCTGGTTTGCAAGGTTTTTGTTGTTGAAGCAGTAGAATCCAAGCCTATAGGTTCCTCTCTGCCCAGAAAGACTTAGGCTGCTACTTTATTTTAGCAAATAAAGTTACAAATAATGGAAGTACATTTCATTAGCCTCTTCAGTTTTCCTTACCTGAAATAATGATATCTTTTCACTTGCACCATTTTGTGTTAATAACCAAAGAGTTATACTAATATGTGTGGGGTTTTTGTGTCCTTCCCCATACCTGGGCTGTTTTGCATGTTATCACACTACTGCCAGCTGCTAAGTATGGGTGTGTTCCTTCAGCTATCTTGTTGCATGCTTCATTCTCTGGCCCTGTATTTCTCACATTCTTGCTTTATAGTTGATGTTATCCTGACCTTGAATATTGTATTTGTTTCCTTAAAACACCTAATTCTGTTCCTAGCAATACAACACTTATCCAGCTTCTAGTGAATTTTGCTTCAAGTGAATCCCCTTTGGTATGGAGCAACATTGTATACATTTAAGACTAAACAAATGTGGGGAGATTTGTGGCAGGTAATTCCTACTATTGTCCCCCTCTACTTTCTCTATTCTAATAATTAAAAATCATACGAGATTCTCTGGGGTCTTACATTCCCATGTTACTCCTCAGGAAATGGGGAGTGGGGAAAGGAAGGGAGTCTTGGGTAGTGAATAATAAGGGCTGGAAGCAAATTGCTTTGGAGCCTTACTCCCCTTCTCTTCACCTGGTGTGAGGGAGTGATAAGGGAAGGTATGATGCATGGATTGCCCTGCCCCTAGCTTACAGCATTAAGTATTTTTTGGCTTGCTTTTGCAATCAGTGAGTTAAGAACTCTGAATAAACAGTGAAGTGAAAACTACAGATGTGGTTCAGGAATAAAAGTGCTTTTGCTTCCTTTGAGCATGTGCAGCAATACATTCATTCACTGTAGAGCAAGCTCATGTTGCAGCACTGATCACTTCCATGATTACTTTTAGAAGTTCTAGGTAGGGACTATTGTGAGATGCATCCTGTGCTGAAACTGCTGTGCTACAGACAAGGGAAGAGAGAGAAACAGTGATCCTCATGGATCTTTTCTGGGAGAAAAAGAATATGGCTGTTCTGACAAATGAAAATTTGACAAAAGCACACATACCTCTCAAAAATACTTATGTAGGACTGACTAAATCCACTTCCTGCATATGGGTGCAGGGCTTTCTTGGTTCATTATAATCTTAACAGACATTCTTAAATTGTGTAGTAATGCTTTGATATTTACTGTATGTGGAGGCATTACTTTTGGAGCAGCCTTATTTCTTATATTGGCCCATGATGTCAGAAGCAGGTGCTGATGGTATGGCAGTAGAGACTAAGCCTTCCTGCCACTATTCTGTTACATTTTGTCATTGTGTGATACGTGGCAGCTGAAGAGCAGTTGGACAAAATGGTATCTAAAATGGAAGGTGCTTATGAAGCAAAGGAGTGTCACTGAATTCCTTCTTGTGGGGAAAAAATGACACCCACTGACATTCACTGATGCTTGTTAAACCTTTGGAGATCACACATTGAATGTTAGGACAGTTTGTGTGTTTCAGCAGTGACAATAGCAACATAAAAGACAAGCATGTTCTGGATAGCCATGCACAGCATGTATGGAGTTGCAGTCAGATATTCAACTCAAATTTGATCATGTCTCTTCACTAGACTTATATCAGACCTATCTTAACATAAAAAAATATCCCTCACCTTATACTTATGTCCTATTCATGTCACTATTTTTGGTGGTACATAAATAAAGGATGAAGCATAGGAAGTATAAAACAAGACCAAAATTCTCTGGTGAGCACCTTGAGAATTGTGACCACTTCCATTGAACGAGACATTGATGCCTTGCTTTCACAAAAACATGGTCAAACGTCCAACTAGTTTTGCTTTTGTATCCCTTTTTTAATGTTTTAATAAGTAAATATATAAGTGAGTATATAAATAAGTTTTATTTTATATATATATAGGCTATATTTTTAATATAATGCTTAAAACAATTTCTCTTCATTCAACAAGGCCCAAGCATGGTCTAATCATTTTACAGTATATCATTTGTTGTTGTAAAGCTTGCCATAAAGGCTGAGAATACAATTCTATGTGCATGCTTATTTCATGCACAGACATGTGCTTCAGACTCCCTGGTAGAACGTTCAAATGAAATGCATGATCTGGATACCAAGAGTTGTAGTGACCTCAGTAACAGCCTTGAATTCTTCAATCTGTAGATCCCTGGAAACTTTCAAAGATGATTAATGGCTATACAAGTAAATTTGGTTTGGCTGTTCAGAAAGTCTATTTGCAAATCCTGAGTTTAAGTCTTAGATGTTGTCCTTTCTATTGATCTAGCTTTTTTCTTCTGTAAAACCAGTTGGCCCTCAGCATCATTGTAAAGTTGCTGCAAGAAAGTATCTGTTCTGAGATGCTTATACATAGCTGGGGAAAAGCAGTCATGCCAGCCAAAAGGGTGGTGAGAACTGGAAAGCAGCAGTACTGAAAGAAAGAAATATTCTAACTAGAGCTTTAGGCTATATTTCAACAAGGAGTGAGATGCCTAAGTGAAATGCAGAGGCCCCACAGGTCCTTCTCAATTCTGCTTTATCTTGTCACTTATCTTGTCACTACAGGCTTTTTGGATGAGACAGTGTATGGCTTAGTTTGCTAGCTCTTGGATAGTTAATTCTTGGGCATCCAACTCTTGCCTTGAAGACGAGTTAGGTACATAACTATGATCTGTAAATTTTGTTGTGATGAGCACTGTCATTATTTGTGCAATATGAATTAGCATTAACTAATTCCAGTGTCTGTCCAGATCTGCATCTAAAACAGCTACCAACAAAGTTCAGCTGATTTGTGACTTGCTTATGAAATGTTACCATTAGAAGCTTAGGAAAGAATAGCTAAGGAAAGAATTCCTTACTGCTATATTTGGGCACATAGACTGGCAGTGTACCAGTACCAACTTCTCTTGCATTTGTGGCTGTTGCACAGAAGCATGCTTTTCTGTAAAATACAGTACAGGAAGCACTTGTGTATAACTGCTGTATGGGCTGAAATCACAGAAGTAGAGTTCACTGCAACTGAGCATAAAGCTTAACTGTTACTGACACTTTTCATTACATAAATATTCCATGATGGATGATAGAGATATCAACCCAGCAATCTTGATTGCTGTTTAAGTTATGTAAACTCTAGATGAAAGTGTTGATCCACCACCTTTTTATTTTTGTAAGTTAAATTTGTATTACGTACTCCTGTGACATCAGTGAGGACATCAGTGTATTTCAGTATGGTTTCTGTTGCAGGTCTAAGGTATCTAACTGGGCTGAAAGATGATGAGATGCATGAAACAAAACTCACTCTTCCTTCAAGTTCATTATCAATAAATCTCAAAAAAAAAAAAAAAAAATTGTTAGTAGTGAAAGACAAATGTAATAATCTTGTCCCTGTTCTGGTGCATCTCCCCAAATCCCGTGTAGTTATTATGTAGCTGGGAAGAAAAGTCTAGAGAGGAAGAGGCAGTTTGGTCTACTAAGGTAGCCAGATACTCCATGCAAAACACAGTCCTAACCTGCAGTGTTTTGTTCTCATCCCAACTTCTCTCCCTACCCCTTGTCATAGCTGGGTATTTGTTGGGCACGTGGTTATTGGGTTAAGAACTTCCACAAGTGAAAAAAAGGATGACCAAAAAGTTACACCACACAATCATAAAATTCAGTAAATCTCTACACTACATGAGCAGTTAAAAGAATTGTGACATTTCAAAAAAAAAAAAAAAAAAGTACTTAATGCAGATTTAAAGAATGGAGATGATGCAGTCAAGGTACTAAAGTGAAAACAGGCCATGAAGGTCCTCCAAGGAGTGATCAAATTGCAAGATTCCTCAAGTGCTGCTATTTTGCCCTACCTTGGCTGGAATGAAGACCTATTTTCTGCATCAAAAGTCAAGAATGTAGATGAAACTTTCCATCTGCCTCTAGAAACACTAGGTATAAATGAGGGGAGGGAGGGCAAGTTGACATTACTTTACTATTACTTTACTATTACTATTAGATGCTATGTTGCTGCTCACTGTAAATCAGCCTATTAACATAATAATTTTACTGGAAACTTACATGGCTTTCCAGCTTAGATAAAATATTTATGAACTAACTGCAAGCCACAAGGTGGTGCTCTTAGCCTGCATCTTGACTACAAAAGAAATTTTTTTACTACTCTTTTTTAATAACATACAGTAAGAACATAGGGAGAAAGGCATGTTTTATAATAAGATTAATTTGGTTTCAGCAGCAATCCCACAGACCATACCACACAAAGTGTAGTTTATAACTGAACATTTTTTTCTTAAATGAGATATTACTTTTGGAGAGTTTCAAAAGAACAAACTTTCTGGGACAGTCAATTCAAATAAATGGCTGAAATTCCAAGGAAATATAATGAAAAAAATAAAATTACAGATGAGCTACCTAATAATAAAATTCTGTCAATGAACACCTAGTAGGTAATATCATATCAAAGTAGCATGATGAGTCTGCAAATCAAAAGTTGTTAATTTGGTAAAAAATGAAATATTTACTTTTCCTTGAAAGGCACATTAGTGTAGTTGCGTACTGCACACCCTCCCCTCCTCCCCTACTCAATTTGTTTATGGATTAAAGAATTCCACATACACATATTGACTATGAAGTGCGTGTGATCATCCAGGAAAAAAAAACCAAAACATAGCATCTTAAGTTCTGTATGCATGTACACTACAAGGTGAGCATAATAAAGATTAGAAACGTAGTTACCTTTTATCTTCAACAATATTAATATATCATAAAAATATTTCCATAAATGTAAACACATACATAGTTCTTAGTCAGATGAACAGCAATCCGTTTTCCATGGTGTTTGTGAAACCTCCATGCCTGGAATACAAAAAAACTGGAGACTTTCCAAGGGATACAGTTCTGCCAGTTGAATATAGATTCAACTTATTCCTTTTTTTGCTCTTCAGCTTTAGATTCTCTTAGTACTTCTTGCCATTTTTTCTCCATTTCTTCCCTGCAGTTCAGGAAGGCCTCTTCCAAGCGCCTCATGGAATTGGTCAGGTCAGGGTTGGTACGCATTACTACCATGTCATATGCCATCCAGGTTGCCTGAACTATAAACACAAGAAATACTACCAAGCCAGGAATCTTGGCTAAAAACACAGGGGGTGATAGAACAACAACAAAAAATACATTATTATCAGTTCGGATTTTAGGTTAGAGGAAGCCTGACATAACAGAAGAAGCTGCCCACAGTAATGCTCAAAATTAATAGATACAATAAATCTGATATTATTTCCTTATAAATGTCTCAAAATACTTCAGAATGGGAGTATACGGACGTATATACTGTAAAGTATGAAAGGGTGATGGACATTTTTACCTGAAGTTTACAACAAAGTGAGTAACTAAAAAGAAAGGCACAACAGTCTTTTTTTAAAAAAAATGAATTGAACCAAAGAATTCTCTCCAGATCAATAACATTCAGGAAAAGGAAAGCAGTGAGGAAAAGGAGAACTAAGAAGGCCACAGAACTGAGATGAAAAACTATTAAGAACAGTGTAACCAATGAGATCAGTTCAGAAAAAAATGAGTATCTCATAAAAGCAGAGGAAATTATTTTTGTATTTATTTCATGTTTTTCCTTCTGTTTCATGATAAACGGACTGTAGTTTTCTCAGCAACATTTGCAAGCTACCACTAACTACAAATTGTTTAATTATCCATTTCCATCTATTCATGTCAGTTGCATATAGTTTCTGATAAAACTGCTGCAGAAAATAAAGAAGAATATGCAGTCCCCTCTATAGGTAAGGGACCAAAATTAAATTTGCAAAGTAGTCTTCCATTTGACTAATAAATAATTAAATATCACACACTAACTTGAGTTACTGCACATTCCACCATTTTTCAAAATTAAATTTCATTTTAGGTTTTTATCAGTTTTAATTGTTAGTTACATGCCTTAATATTATTTCTGTTTTCAGCCACCATTCTGAACCAAGCATGTTCTACTAACTTTAAGTTTGATTGCTTTCACTCCTTCTCTCAATTGAGAGCATCAGCTGATGGTGATTTTTCCCACTTACATTTCTATGACATGGGAAAGTTCATAGCAATAAATATAAATAATACATCTTCAATGTCTTCACTCTAGTAAACAAATCCATATGGTTCTTAATAAAGACCTTTACCTGTCAGTTTTTCCATTTCCTCCAGAAGTTTTTCTAGGTCCCTGTTCAGGTCCTCTATCATCTTCAGCATATTGTCATAGTTTCTCTCTTGAGGTTCTTGTCTGGCCATCTACCAGGAAAGCAGGTGTTTTATAATTTATTGTACTTTAAGGTGAGTTGATTTTCCCTGTTGTGGTAAAGCAATATTGCGGTGAAATTTATTAATTAAAATATATACAATTCTCAATTTAGATATGAATTCATTAAGAATCTGACCTGAAAGTAACTGGTTAACAACTGTCTGTTGCACACTACTTTTAATCCATTTTGAAATCATTTTCAGCTGTTCAGAGAGAATTACTCTCACTGTGCTGTACTTGTGCCAAGTAATGATTTTAGTATCTGCACCAAAGAGATCATTAGACAATTTCATCTACTGTTCTGCTACAGTTGTCTTAAAGCCTCTCTCTCAAATATTCTGACTCAGGCCAATCCCTAATTTCCAAAGTGAGCTGTAAAACCCCCATTTATGTCCAGTATTTCACACACACACGGTAGCACCAGATAACTGCACATACTAAATTCTGTAACTCTATATGCAGCTAAGTCGTGGGAGCAACCTCAGCTTAAACTTACTGGAAGCAAAATAGATAGACTCAACCTCATCAGTGACTTTCAGAACCTTGATATGATGCAAAAAATGAGACACACAGCCTCGCTTTTATTTGCTTTCCTGAAAACAAGGGATGGGGTGACACCATGGAGAGGAAAGAGCTCCACTGTGGTAATTACATCACGCAAAGTTTTTGTCAGTTTTCTTTTAAATATACGGAATTGTCCAAATGCCATCAGAGGGCCACCCGCTTTCAGGTTTTTACTGCAGATAAATGTGGAAGAAATGCCACATTTAAGAGCTAAAGCGCTTAAAGCACTTCAAATGAACGTCAAGCCTCAGCAAGGCGCTCGCGTTCAGAGGTCTCACCACACACTTAAGTCTTACTAAACAACCGCGTGCCGACAAAGCCAGGGTGCCACAGGCCTTAAAAAAACTGGCCACGGTCCCCATTTCATCAGGACCTTCACCCTGCTTCTGCCGATCCCCGCACCTTCGCGTTCACGCTCCGGCCCGTACCGCCTCCCTGCCGCAACCGACAGCGCGCCGCCCCGCCGCCCAACCGATGCCGTGGGTTCCTCCCCCACGAGCGTAGCAACGGGGACGGGCGGGAACGGGACACGAAAAAAACGCTGTTCTGCCCTTCCCTGTCCGCTCGTACCTGCTCTGCGCTCCAACTCGCCGCCTCGGTTAATCTTCTGTTTCGCGACAAGAAACACTTCGACGGGCGGTTAGGCGGCCGTGGGAAAGGAAGGGGAAGGACGCGGGGCTGGAAGTGGCGGTGCAGCCGGCCAGGTGTGCCGCTGCAGGAGGGGTGCTCGCCGGTTTTCTAGCAGCGTCCCGTCTGCCCAGCCTTACTTCCAGCGCGGTCGCAGCCGGCACTGGGCCGCGTCAGAGCGGGCGCCTCAACGGGTCCCCGCTGTGCTCCCTGATTATGGCCTCCGCTGCGGGCCTGGCCCACTGCCTGCTGCGCGGTGCCTCGTCCCCGGCCTGCCACAAAACATAAGTACTCCAGGAGGCCGGAGAGCAGGAGGTAATCCCCGCTTACCTGTCTGCGCTTCCCCAGTTCCCACAGCCCTGCACCCCCCGTGCTGGCGTCCTTCAGCCGCCCTGCTGCTCCCTGCGCCGAGCTTTTGCCGTGAGAGATCTGAAAATAAGTGCCAAGTGATGCCTCAAGCACGAGCTCTTGAAGTTGGATGCGTATGCTTTCTTTCCTACAGAGGTACACCTGCCCGCCTTCGTGATCTTTGTCTTTACAAAGCAGTTATTGGAGAAGGTGTTTGCTGGGCTAGGCAAAGAAGGGCAAGAAATTTTATGATGGCTGAGAAACAAGACACAAAGTTTGTCCAGTTTGTTGATAGTAGGCATTAAGTGGTATGTAGGAGACTGAGGGTCGTGTCCCTTTGGATGGCTCACATCCCTGATCATGTCCCTTTCTCTATTCATTTCCAAGCCTTACTATCTGCTTCAACTAGTATCCAAACTTCAAACTACTCTCGTGTTTAAATAATTGAGTATATTGGTATTTTAATTGTGTGTGAAACTTTCACTCATCTCTTGTTACCACTGCTCATTTCACTGCCAGCTACTACTTATTGTACACAATAAGTAGCTAGTTTGAATATCGCACTCCATCCTTATACAAAAATGAAACGTAGCAAGTTACATGAAAACTGTGGAATTTATCACAAAGTATTGTGTTGCTAAAATTTTGCAGGGTGTTGAAAGTAGGCAAAATCCTTCAAGGCATATGAAAGGAAAGATAATACTTGGCTAACTGAATTCTTGTATCACAGGTTGCTGGAAGCAATGGAAAGCATTGTGTGGAATACCATTTTATGTTGTTTTGAGCTTCAGTTTCCCCAGGCAGTCTCACTGCCGGCTGTCTGAGGCACAGTGCTCACTAATGGACACCTTATTTTAAGTGGCACAGCCATTTTGATGGTTTCTGGCACCCCAGCTTCTGAATTCTCTACCACAAAGCAGTCTCCCAGATGCAGCCGTTTATGTATATGTGTGTGTTTGTATGTTCCTAAGAAACTTGTACTTGCTCTGGTGTTGTTATTTAATATTGCTCCCTTGCTCTGTGAAAATCTGGGCAAGCATTCTGTGTTCATGCAGTAATTTGTTTATGCGTGTAATTCCAAAAGCTTAGTTGTAGCTACTATAGCTATATAGTTATTGCTAGTGCATAATACTATACTAAAATCCATTTGCGGTGACACTGGCAGACAGGAAAATGTTCAGGATGTCTGATTAATTTGTCATTCTTACTGACTGTTCTTTAGGGCACAGTGATGTGTTAGAAAGTGAATTGCAGGTCAAAAATGCACTATTAAGTGGAATAGTTCTTGAACATATTTTTGTGTAACACCGTTTCATAAAACTTTTGTGATATGTACTTTCTAGTTCTAGTAAGGTTTCTGTGGTCAACCTTTCTGGGGGAAGATGGCTCCTCTACTTCTTTTTGTGTGAAGTGGTGCAATTTATTCAATACTTACACTGGGTGCTTAAGTTAAATATGTTCAACAACTTCAAAGTTTTGACAACAGGAACCATTTATTCTCACCTGGAAATGTGAAACGGTGAAAATGCAGCGGCAAAACCCAGGAACTAAAGAGGAACGTTTATATGTTTAACAGGAAGAATAAAACAGAAAGAGAAAAGGTCAGATTAACAGAAGAATATGCGTACATAATGTGCTCAGGAACCTAGTTGCTAAGGTCAGTAGCGCCGGAAACTACACAAAGCTAATGAAAGTGCAAGTGATACATGCTGCACCTACTTTCCAGTCTATTAGCTTATCTATTGCCCTTGTAGTCCTGGGAAGAACTCCATGGGATAACTGGATGAGTACTGATTTTGGGACGCCAAAGAGTAGATCCTTTCAGAAGAAACTTGCTTTCTGGACAGTTACTTGGAGTTTGCTGATTTTTGTGACTTTTCAGCCACAAGATAAGTGGTGTGGTTTTAACAGTATCTTCAAGTAGGAAAAAAACTGAACGGTTTGTGGCTGAATTTGCCATCAGACCCCAAAGTGCATTGTAGAGATTACTGAGCAGTTGTGTGTGGATAGGATGGTTGCTTCATATGCTGTAGATGTCTCAGAGATAAAGAGGACATTTTTGTTAACAGAACTGCCACTCCACCAATTTCAGTGCACCTAGTCATACTTGCATAAGGAAAAACAGAGGGAAGAACACAAACATTTAAACAGGCAGTGTTCTCCTTATGGATGTGCACAGACAGAATAAATAACTTGTAACAGAAGTTTGCTTTTAACGGGATGAAACGTGACAGTAAATTTCTGCTGTCCCTTAACTGAACATGAGGAAGGGTTTATGGACTAGTGAGGAAGACTAGTCTGAGACCTGAACTCTGAACTGCTTAATATCTTCTCCGACCAGTCTGACTGGGAGCACAGCAGAAAGATTAACTAGGGAAACAAAAAGCAGTGGGGGTTGCTACCTTTGCATATGCATACCTTGAATATTAACTCCTTGCGTATCCCACTTTTTTTTTTTTCCTGCAGATGGGGTCTTTAGAAAACTGGGGAAGAAGGAATGAAAGGTGGAAGACTATCAGTTATTGTATTTTTAAACTGTGATACCTAAATAGGAATCAGGTTCATTTGAAGAGATTTCCCCAGCTGCATTTACAAAAGGAGTCTGTGGAAAACAACATATTTCAATAAATAACACACATAAAAGAGGAAATGTCATTTTCAATGTAGCCACTTATTAAACAGGAATAGGTTATAGGACAGATCCTGTGCATCTTCATGGAAAAAATAACAGTTGATGCAGGTTAGCACCAGAATAAGGGGATGACAGAAACCAGAGCCTGAGCTTGAAATCTGCAGCTGTAGTGATCTTTGTAATTGAAGTAAATGCTCAGTCTGGAACATGGGTGTCCATCTTCCTGACTTTCTTGGGCTGCACTGTGTGAAGAGGAATTGTGTTGGACAATATATAAAATACATAATGTAGCTAATGTGTTTAAATACTTATTTTGTGTTTTTAAATATTTTTTATTAAAGCATTAAAAAAGGAGCGCAACAGAAACATAAAACTAGTGGGATATTTGACCTTGGTTTTGTGAAAATAATGCATCAATGTCTGATTCAGTGAAAGTGGTTGCAGTACTTAGTGAGGTATCAAGGTGCTCATCAGAGAGTTTTGATCTAATTGAGCCCTTCTGGTGCTTCAGCCTTGAAAACAGTTGTTCACAAATGTATGTACTGCCAAAAAAAAAAAAAAAAAAAGAATTGCTGACAAAAAATAAAGTATTATTGTTAAGTGAGGGATATTTTTCTCTGATAAATCAGATCTTAGCATTTTATCCCAACTCAGCCACCTTTCTTCAGAAAAGCAAAAGATGCCCCCATAATCAGCATCCTACTTTGAAGGAACTCCTGGAACTGGTAACGATTCAATCCTTTGGCCATCATGAAATTCACAGCTTTGCTGATGATTTTCATCACTTTATTGATTTTAAAAGCTTTGCATGTAAATTTTCTTGATGAACGATGCAGCAGCATTTTGTCAAACGTGAGTTGCTGACAGCAATTGCATCGCCTTACAATAACTTTTGTAAGTAAGTCCTCCTTTTTTAGCAGTTGTCACCGGGGCACCATCAGTATCTGTACCAGCTATGTTGACAAAGGTTAGAGAAAACTGCTTTAACGTAATTGTTACTGCTTCACACAAATCAAGAGATTTAGTTGTGTCTTTTAATGGCACCAAAGAAATAATTTCTTCAGTGACATTATACTTGTTATCAGTACCTCTCTTGAAAATGGAAGCTGAGCTGTGTCTGTAGCATCAGTACTTTCATGTGTCACCAAAACATGAGATTTGAAATTACCAGCTTCACACTCTAAATTTCTTTTAGCAGTTTCCTATTTCTTCAATTTGTTTGTCTATAGTCCAGTGAGACAAACTGATTTTAGAAAGATCTGCTTTTTTATAAAGACACATTATATCCACCATGCTTTTTGTACGTTGCTTAATAAACTCATCGTCAGTAAATGGTTTTGATTTTTTTTTGCATTCAGATTCACTACCACATAACTAGCAGTGGTGGTTCACTTGAGTGAGTTCATTTGAGTTGTTTGGTTTTTTGCTAAGGGATTGGTGTGCACTCAGGACCCGGCCAGACAACTTAGTGGGGAATAGCCACCACCGTGATGGCATGGGGCAGGGAGCAGGCTGCATTGTGAGCTGTACAGGGTCACATGCAGGATGAGGGCCACAGGTTGGATGTGTGCAGTCTAGGGGATTTCTCTTCTGTTTTTTCAGGAGACAAAACTCCACATCACTGCACTATTCATTGATACTGTTCTGCTTTCTTCTGCCAGCCTACGTAGAGATCAGGCAATGAAGAGATACGGTCCCAGTATTCACCATTTTGCACACTTAGACAGTAAATACCAGATGAAAGAATAACAGAGAGAAGCTTGGGATGTTCTGCTCTGTGGATATATTAATTTGTGGTTGTTCTTGCAGATAAATTATCTATTGTGTTTCAGGATGTAACTCTACCTCTCTGCCTCTACCTCAATCTTCTCTAAATGAAATAATGTGCACAGCACCAAAGTATTAATACAAACAGGTCGGGTTTGCTCAAGGAGTTGGTAGAGATCATATCATTTTATGTTCTCAAAGCTGTCCGTGGCATACTATTGACTGTAAAATGAACTTTGTCTCTCAATGTTAGGTCTCATGTTGTTTCCTCTTGTAATACAACTGCTTTCTACTTGTGTTATATAGGTAAGCAAATAATCTTGTAGAGGCTTGTTTAACCAGGAGTCAGGAATCTGAAACATGAGATTTTTCAGTGATAGGCAAAGGCAGTCTTTGAGCTGATGTGGGGAGCCTGCAATCAAGCAGCTGGGACTTAAATACAGTGGTTGTCTGGAAGAAAGTCCCCAGGGCATAAATGCTGAGGAAATGAAATGCAGCGAGGAGTACACCTCACAAGTTATTCAGGATTGAGAACATTAGAAGGAGCTGAACAATGTCCTCAGGGGCATATTAACAGGACGACATCACAGGGCAAGTTCAAGAATATTGACAGGTCTTGTTAGGGAGCTCAGGACATATTTGAAGAGGTTTTGTAAGTGTGCTTCAGTGACAGGACTGTGCAGGGAGCTCCAGGCTGCGCTACTGGCAGGATGGGGAAAGAGAAGTGACAGCAGAGCTGAAAAATGAAAGCAGAATG